AAGGGTATTTGGGAGCTCTGTGTACTCAGCTGAAACACTTCCTGAAGTGCCAGGAGTCCATCTCGAACACTTCTAAATTAGATGTTCATGTGCCTCAGCACCTGATTCGCCTCTGCAGCCACAGTTCTTGGTGTGAAAACCACGTGAGCCTGCCCTTCCTGGCTGTTCCCAGCAGTGGGATGTGTTTGGGAAGGCTGGGGCTGTGGAACGTGCTGTAGGACTGAAGGATGGGCACCTCCATCTGTTGTGTGGTGTCAGTCACACGACACCCCAACGGCTCCGTCTTCCTTCCTCACTCTTCAAATCTGCAGGAGTTTTTCTTGCCCACAGAGCAGGACTGGCAGAGGGATGTGGCAGTGCTGAGCAGTGGGATAGCAATAATTTCCCCTGGCAGGGAGGTCTTGCATGCCCACATCAGGGCCCTGTGGTGGGTAGGCATGTTTTATACACACATAAGCCCTCTAACAGGGCTACACTCTGCAGGCACATCAGGCAATATCTTCCCAAAGTCTCTGGATAATCACTCTTTCTTCTTTCTCCCTCACCTTGAGGACAGATAAAAAGCCTTTCAGGGAGATCTTAAGTCAGCGTTGCCATTTCAACCCCCCAGATGTCAAAGTGATTTTTATACTCTTTCTGCTCAACTAATTGCCAAGCCTCAACAAAGGGACTTTAATGGGTTGCACCAGGCAATAAACCATCATCTATTGGCTCTAGGAACAAGGAAGGAAGAGAGGGAATGTAAAGCTGGAACAAAGCACAGACCCAGAGCAGGTCCAAACTGATTTATCCCAAGATTTGATACCAGATGTTCCATTCAGACACCTTTAACAGAGCTCCACAGAACACTAAATGCTTCTCATGTTTTCAGTATTCAACCCACTCCATCTGGGCACTTCTGCCACAGGGCACTAACAAAACACTGCTCAATATTAATCAAAGAAGTGAGTTTTGCTCTGCAAGTTCAATATAAAAACGGTAAGAGCAAACACATGTGAGGCTGAACACAACAGAGGAGTTGTCTTGGATTACAGCATTTCCATACCATGCCCAAAGTCTGATTTTAGGGAGAACATGTTAGTGACAAATTACCACAAATATTGTGGTAAACTGCAGCACTCTGTATCTCTGATTAATAAATATCCAGTTCATAATATGCCAAACTCCTGTTTCCTTGTTTACACAGAGTTTCCATACACTGTTGCACAGCTACCACTCCATGGAAAAGCTGCATGCTTTTTCTTGGACATCTTTTTGGGTATCACTTCTTTACAGATAACATTAATTTCTGCCTGTGCCCACTTTTAGCCCCAAGGACTCCTTGTTCTCCAATTAGTTCCTTCTCTCTAGCCCACCAACAGCCTGTAGCCATATGTAGTAAGAACTATTACTTATGGCCCACATGTGTGCAAAATCTTTTTCCAAATAATTTTTATTCTCGAAATCCAGGACTACTCACATTTGACAAGCCATACAAGGCTGTTGGGACTGGGCAGTGGCAGCTGAGGTCACTTCTCCCTTATTTTCTCAGCTGCCAGCACACCTTCCTAGTCTCCCTTTGCTGATTCAATTCTGCAAAGGGGAAGGATTGCAGGATCTGGCCCGATTTTCTCTCTCTGCAGCAGCTCCTTTCCATCATGGATTTAATTACCTGCTTTTCTTAACCGGCTCCATCTATTGCCACCTCTTCTTCCTCCTCCCTTGCATCTTTTGCTCCCTAAATCATCAGTAACTCAACTCAGCCTACAGCTCTAGCTTAAAAGATGGGATCTTCCAGCTTGCCTCCTGTCCTCCTGAAAGGCTGACCGCTTTGCCAGACTTCCCTTCCAAGTTCCTTCTGTAAGCGTCTGCATTTTATTAAATCCTCGTGCACCCCACCACGTGTGGCTGGGCTGTGGGATGTGCAGAGCTGCCTTTGTCCCAGCGCCATCGAGTTCCTGTGTGTTTACTCCGCTCAGGCACTGGATGGTGCTCTTGGCACTTCCATGCCGGAAAAGCGCTTTCCAAGCGATCCCTCTTCTCCTGAGAGCTGTAAAAATTCCCCCGGGTCAGATAGTGTTGCACGTCTAAGCCTCTAAATCCCGTGGGAAGGGCATGTTTTGACTACACAATGTAGCTGAAATTGCAGTGGAAGAAGCTCAGCCAGGTAAGGACAAATGCCAAATGAAATGTCACTGCCTGTGACACACAAATCCACGGAGTAGGGGCTTTCACATCCGTCCTCAAATATTTTATTTGCTAATTGGTTCCTTATCAATGCTCCCCATGGCAACGAGAGAGATTTAAGTGGCATAAAGTGGGCTGAGTGACATTATGTCTGCATGTAAATGTGACTGGGATTGTGCACGGAGGAGATGATCCGAGGGAGGTTAACAACGTAATGTGAAACCTCCTGTGGTCTCAGAGGGGAAAGGAGCTTCTTGCTGCTGCCTGAGTGGTGCAAGAGCCAGGCAGGGAAGCTATCTCAGCAGCAAACATTTTTGAGAGAATCAAACTGAGATTCTATAGAAAACGAGTTTCTTTGATCCTTTCACCTGCTCAGAAATATTCATTTTACAACAGATGTTTGTCTTCAGCTATTTTTCATAGAAGGTCAGAAGTATTTTTGGTATTTTTTTAAGGTGGGATGAATAAGGAAAGGAAATGCACTTCATGACAAAAAAAAAGCTATAGGGAGGTAGGAGATACATGTTCAGGTTTTTTCCTTCCTGTTGCTGATTTTTGTGTATCCCCAGGAAAATCAGGCTGTGTCTCTGGGTCTGCTCAGCCTGTAAATCCAAGATAATTCCCCCTCTTCTGACTCTACTAAAAGGCTCTTTCTCCCATGGAAGGTGCCATAGAAAAACAAAATATTTTGTGTGTCTGCATCTAAGGGACATAGGTCTGGAAAAGGCACTCCAGTGAAATAAAGAGGCAAATAGAGAGACCACTGTAACACTTAGGAGAAATCAGGGAAAACAGGGAATAAAAGGATTCATAAGGATGGGATGGCATTGATGAGAAACAGCTGGACCATATGGGTGTACCCACTGACCTAAGATGTGGGATTTTAACTTGTACTGACAACTATTTGGTTGGACCATCTCTGCATATGCAGGAATTGGCAGAGCCTCAGAAAAGGCTCAGGAATCACTGTGGAGTCCCACCTGGAGGAAGGCCTTGAGCTACACTTTTGGAGCTTCCAGTAAACCCACCTGGATTCAACTGTTCAAAAGGTAGGCTTGTTCAGCTGAAGGACTTGCAAAGATGTGGTGATCCTCTGAAATCCTGTGGCGTCTCTTCAGCTGCCTGGTCTGCTCTTTACACAAAGATTTCTTGGGTATTGTTCTTCTAAATGTCTCCAAAGGCAGTTCTGAGAGGGACAGACTGAGGGTTAACAGTGGTTGGATGAATAAAACACTCCAAAAGGAGCATTGCTGCTGAAGCCTTAACAGGGAAATCTTTTGGCTTCACCATTTAATATGACCCACATGGGACAACGAATTTTATGGTACTTGCAACACTCCCTCCTTCTCTTGGCAAGTGGGCATTGCAAACCATTAGAATTTATGGGATATCTGATCTGCTTGTGCCTCAGAGGAAGAAAATGAGATAAATGGCCCAGTCTTGCAGATCTGACATGACTCATCTCGTTGATGTTAACGAACTGGTCGACTCAAGATCAGGAAGTTGAATGCATGGGATGCTACTGTTGACATGGTCTGTTGGTTAGAGAAACACTACTGCATGTCACACTTCTATGCAAAACAGCCTCAAGAAGCAGAACCTCCTGCTGCTATTTTAGGTTTTTTAAAGAAAAGTATAATCTCATGAACAGAGTGAAAAACAAGAGAGGTCTCTCTGAGGTCCCAGTGCTGGCCCACACCGGGCTTTGCTGGGTGAGGTGTGGTAAATGTGTGGTGACTGACTCTGGTGCCTGCTCTCCTCTACTGCAAAATCCTGCTGCAATAACAGAGCTGGCAGGAGGGAGCCTTTGTCCAAATCTGCCTTCAGCAGTGACTTAAGTAGAGGTGCTGGACTTGGTACTGCAGCAGTTGAAGTGTGTGCAGATAATTTTGTTAATACAGGTATAGTGAGTCTGAATGGGTCATGGCTTATTTTTATACCTGCCAATGAAGGAGTGCAAGGCAGAGCTGTGTCTCCCTGCAGTGGCAATTCTAATGTATGGCTGAGCAAGGTTACCCAAAAGACTGTGCTCTCAATGTGCCCTTTTGTTACTCACACAGAATGAGTTTCTGACTCCTTGGTTATTTTGAGGTAAGAAATAAGAAAAACTGTTTAGTTTCACGGTACATCACAATATTCAATGAGCCTGTCCCTTGGGAACACAGAGAGCTCTCAGATCTTAATATAGACATCTTTCAAATGAGATCATTAATGTGCATATATCTGGATTTAGGGCCAATGCAAGCACTTCGATTTTTGCCTGCCAAATTTTCATTTTTGGCTTCATTTTCTTCCCACATATTCAAAGAACTGTACCACATGGAATCCTTTAAACAATAGATGGGATAACATAATTTTTCAATTGCTCTTGAAAAGGTTTTTAACCACATAAACTATTCCAGGGTTCGCTAAGAAGTTACCATTGCAAATAATGTAATTGTTCCAGACTGAATTCCTTGCATTCCAGAATAACTTTTGAAGCAAAGAGCATGACTGGTTTGGGATTTTTAACCAAGCTCTTTATGGTAATACTTAGATGAATGTAAATTTTCTCCAAAAGCTTTGCATTAAAGAGAAAGGACCAAAGCCTACAAACACTCATAGCTGCAGAACTAATACTCAATGCTAATGACCCATCAATCTCACCAGAAGGAAAATAAACATTTAAAAATTAGGAAACCCTGAACACTTTATTTTAAACAAACAAAAAAAGTGAGAAAAACAGTAGAAAAACTCTGGCAAATGTAGAAATAAAATAAGATAAAGTGCAAGCAGTAAATTCTGGCTTTCCTCTTCCCTTCTGCTTAGAAGGACAAGGCTGTTACTTGCCTTTTGAATGAGGCCAAGGCTCCCTGTCCTGAGCCACCGAGTCCCTCCTCAAAGGTGTGTGCAATTGCTGCTTCCCTGGCCTTCACCTGCAGTTAAAAACACACATTTTTTCCTGGTCATACATTTGCTCTCCACATTGGAACCATTCTTGTAACACTCATCTAAAGGTGATATGGTTTCATAGTTTGTCCAATGGAAACTGTTACCAAACTCTTCACTTTGTAACACCTACAGGTAGAGTCACCTGGGAGAGAGGAAATCAGCTCTCCCACTTGCCCAGGCAGAGTGTCCCCAGTGCTGTAATTCTTTTCTTCTGTGAGTGCACTGGAGTTTAGTCTCAGCAACCCACAAAGCTGCTTCCCAAATCCACCTCTTGGATTAATTGAATTAAGCAGTGGGTGGTTCATGAGTTGAACTCCACTGGGGAGCAGGGCCTGTAATTCACTGCAAACTCCCACCGTTCAGGGCACAGCAGAATCAAACTTTTTTGTGGCCAGAAAAGCAACAGAAATGGAAAACAGCCCAATTCAGATGGTCTTTTTAATCTCCACTTTGATTCTGTGCTACAGAATCAAAATGCTTCTCATTTCCCACACATCAGCCTGTTTCCACTGGATTCACACCAGATGTAGACTTGGCCTTGCATGTCCAGAAATTTAGTTTATCTTTTTAAAGGCTCTGGTTTTTGTAGAATTGGCTTAGCTGGAGTATAAAACAATAGTATCTCGTGCCTTTCAAAACTAAAGAAGTTAGATCTGTATTTTATTAGCCTCACTTCCTGTGAATACAAAGCTTTTGTGGTCATACCTTCCTCAGTTTGGTCACAGTCCTGTCCCTCTGATCATCCACACCAAGGGACTTGTTGGAGTGTGCAGTGGCCTCCTCCAAAACTCTGCAGTTTGTGGCAAGTGGTGGTAAAAGGTATGTAACTGGGTCCTATCCTGACACAGAGTGGGGACATAGTGAGGGTAACTCAACCAGAGCTGGGATCTGGGACTAGTTTCAGAGATAAGGATAGTGATCAATACATTCCTCAAAGCCTCATGAAAAGAGATGCTTCACTTGAGGTTAAAGAGCCCCAATTAAAGGAAAAGAAAAAAAAAAAAAAGCAAAAGCAAAGACCCAGAAAGAGAAAAATCTTTCTACATGACCAAAAAAATAAACAGGAAAAGTTTCATTTGGAACTTGAGCATCCATATGCACTTAAGTCAACCAACCACAAGACAGAACTATTAGGAAAACATTTAATTACCTCTTTCTCCACCCGTTTATTTTCTTCTGACAAAAAGAAAATACTTCTTCTCTCCAAGATGTGTTGTGTGAATTATTTCACTGTGCTCTTTGCAACCAAACAACCCCAGTCTCACTCAGCTTCCTCCTGGACTCCAGCAGCTGCAGTGTGTTCACACTCACTGCTTGTCCCTGGATGTTATTGTTCAAAGAAAAGCTTCAAACTTCTCTTTTTCAGAAACCCTACAGGATTAAATTTCAGGCAGACTGCAGGGGGACAGCTGCTCCTCCTCCTGTACTAACACAGCACATGCTCTCCAGGAAGATGCATCTTCCATTCACTCGTGTCTGCTGCTGCTGAAAACACCCATGTTAGACTTGTAGGCCAGGTAAATTAAATAAAAATTCATGGGATTTTAGGAGCATTATTTCTGGAGAAGCTTATTGCAGAAATAGTCTCTGCTCACCTGCCTCACTGGTTCCTCCATACTGCACTTGTCCAACATGAGCACCACAGGGATTGACTTTCAGGACTCCTGGTCTCTGCTGGTTCTGCACTGCAACAGGCCTGTTCCTCTGACTGCAAACTGCTGCCAAACCTTCTTCACCTCTTTGAAGATTGAGCTGAGTCATGTTGGGAAATCCTTGGAGATCAAGGCTATAAGAACTACAAGTGATTAGAATTAAATGGGACATTCTGGGAGGCACAGAGGAAGTTACTCAATTGTTCCAGGTTAGAAGACATTCTGATAGATACTACTTAAACCTTTGCCTCTGTCAAGTCCAATTACTGTCCAGAAAAAGCAGGAAAGATTAGGTAAGAACCATATCTATAAAGCTAGTACAGCTCTAGATGGAAGAACAAGAAGGAAAAATAAAAGTACAAGCCCCTTGAGGGTTTTCATACTTTTCAAACTACATACAAACCCCATTTAGAATGTAAGCTCAGGAGTTCTAATGAAGGTTTTGAAATGTTGCAATTCTAATTGTAAATTGAAGTGACGGAAGTGATACGATATTCATTCCTTAATAAACACTTGTAGGTACAACAGATGTCAAGCTTGATATAATCTTACTTTATATTTGCAGCTGGAGTGATGCTGCACTCAGTTGGATCCTGGACCATCCAAAACGTGCCAGAGCTTTGCCTCGACATGAACCAGATGAAAATAAGTGCTAATGGGGGTGCTTTGGGGTACCCATATGAACACAGAGCAGGGCAGAGTTTCAAGAGCTCAGTTCCCACAGGACTAGGTTTTCAAAGGGATTTATGTGTTGAATGCTTGTAATATCCAGCTACTTGTAAAAGAGCCTAAGCAGGAGCTAAGAAATGTGTAAATGTGCCTCAAGTGATAGATGCTTCACCCTTTGATCATCTTGTCACTAAGTCAGCAATTCTGTGAGCACTTGGCACTTTTGGGTTCTCCAAATACCCACAGAAAGAAAGCCCTACGTGTCTCAAGTTGGGAACACTGAAAAGTTAAGTCTTTAGTTTAAGCCTGCTTTTTACAATGGCAAAGACTTGAGAAGATTTACCCCAACTGATCAAAAAGGGTAAACTGGAATAATTTTCACAGATTCCCTATTTCAGGTTTGCATTTGGTTTAACTGAGCAAAATTTTATCAGGAAATCCAGAATCCCATGCCTTGCTATACCATGTATTTTGACAACAAGGCCTGAAAAACTGTGGCAATAAGAGAGATTGAGTTTAAAAGGGATTGATTTTAGGGTGTGTAAGGCATAAGAAAGGCGAGTTGTAACAGATCTTGCCTGTGACAGGACTTGGTATCATAATTTCCACTCTAACTCTGCTTTCTGTGATTTTACACGAGCTCAAATGATGCAAATCTACCATTTTATTGGTAAAAACCTAAAGTTTAGACATGTTCTCCCAGTTAGGTGGAAGGACTAAAGCCCATCCACAGAGACCAACCACAGGTGCTGGGGAAGGGACCCCATGGCTGGTCAGGCTCCTTCCACTGCCCCCCCCCCGGTCACACCTCAACTATTAAGTGTTCAAGTTTGACAACTATAGTAGGTCAGGCATTAATACACCAATTTCCATACCAAGTGTGTAATTTACTGATAAAACTTTCTGAATGTTTACCCATCTTAGGTGCTTCCTTCCCCATCACATCAAGGAACAACTCGATGTGGCCCTCAGTGCTCTGGGCTGGTCGACAAGGTGGTGATCGGTCAAATATTGGACACGATGGTCTCGGAAGTGTTGTCCAGCCTCAGTGAGTCTGTGACTGTGGGGCAGAATAGTGTCTGTTGGTGTTGCTTAAACCGATTTCCTGAATAATAAACACCAACTCTGCTTTTAGGCTGCAGACCCAGGGGCGCAGCACTGAGGGGAGAGGTCTGGGTGGGGACCCTGGACAAGCCACCGCCACCTTCACCCTGTCCCTGTCCCTCTCCCTATCCTTGTCCTCAGTCTCTATGTTCCCAGTCCCTGTCCCCTATTCCCAGTCCCTGTCCCTGTCCCCAGGCCCTGTCCCTCTCCCTGGCTCCAGTCCCTATTCCCTCTCCCTGTTCCCTATTCCCAGTCCCAGTTCTTCTCCCTATTCCTGTCCTCACTCCCTATTCCTCTCCCTCTCCCTGTCTCCAGTCCCTATTCCCAGTCGCTGATCCCCTGTCTCTATTCCCTGTCCCCCGTCCCTGTTCCCTGTCCCCAGTCCGTATTCCCAGGCCCTGGCCCTGTCCCCAGTCCCTGTTCCCAGTCCCTGGCCCTATCCCTGTCCCCAGTCCCTGTTCCCAGTCCCTGGCCCTATCCCTGTTCCCAGTCCCTGTTCCCTCCACCTGTTCCCAGTCCCTGTTCCCTCCGCCTGTTCCCAGTCCCTGTCCCCTGTCCCCTCTCCCCACCCCACTCCCAGTCCCCGTCCTCACCCCGCTCCCTCCCAGCCCCGGTGGCCGTTCCCGTCCCTCACCCCGGGCGCCTGAGCGGGGCTCCTCCTCCTCCTCCTCCTCC